CCAGTGTTGCAGTGGGCACATGGTCTTGATAACCCGACGTTTATTACCGTGTTCAGATTGTCTGATTTAAGGTCGCACCCAAAGGATGATAGATATAAGTGGGCATCTGATTCAGGCAATTGCATTATACTGGGATCGTTTTTGAATTGCGAGTTTAGTGCCTTTTGCTATGGAAGGTAATAAAGGATGTGTTGCTTTTGAAATTCTCCAAATCCTTTTGTGCTTGGGGACTCCCTTCGGAGCTCTCTTTATCTGGTCGTGGTTGTAACTGTGGAAGTTGTCTTGTAAGCGAAGAATTCTCAAAGGATGCTCTTCCTGAATGGATTGATTGGCGGCAGAAGAAAGAAATAGTTTTGGGGTTTGGCATCTTCGATAAAGATCTCTCTGTTCAGTTGTATGAGCTAGATAGTTTCGGTGGATTTTCAGTGATTAGGATGATGTCCTCAGGAAAGCTTGAATTTCAAACATTCTGTGTCGCTTGGGAATTTTTGAATAATTCAGAAGCCCACAAAGGGTCATTGCTTCATTTTGAAGATTCTCTTCTATATGCAATAGGTGACGAGGAATATAACTTTCCCAAGAAGTTTTAGTACCTGAAACTTGACTATCTTGAGGGCAGTTTGAAAGATAATCTTGCCAAAGTCTTGGTTAAAATAATCAGAAAGCTCGGTGAACGTCCTAGCAGAAAGGACTCTTCTGATTCAGACTTCCATCAACACATAAATGTCAGAAGTTGAAGGCTTATAGATTCACCAAATTGAGATCCTCTCCTACAATTTACGACGTTTTGAAGTACATCAGCTCTGTTGGGCCTTTGTGGAGTTTAGTTTGTATGTTGATTCGGATGATGACCCGATCAGAAGTAATGTTGCGTGATTTTTAATGAAAAATTTTCTGAGACTTGATCCATGAAGCGAAGGTTTGGGCTGAGAGGCTCAAGTCGTAGTGTTCATGGACAAGCGTTGCCCCTAAGAAAAATTTTTTGGGCTTGTTTTGTAGCTTGGTGCGTAGGACACATAAAATACCGCTACTTTGGTGATTAGGGTTTTATCGATGTAGAGCTGCTCTCTGTAATCCTCTCTCTCAATAGTGAAAATCCTGCAACTTTGTGGACATAGGCAAATTATCGAACCACGTAAAATCTTTGTGTCTTGTTCTTTCTTGTTTCTTATTGCTTTATATTATTGGTTTGTTTTTCGATTGTGTTTGTCTGTGGTTTAAAACATATTAAATCCCAACAAGCTCGCCAACTAGCATACATGATATTGCTTTAAAGAGCATTTGGGCTGGCTTGCCTATGAGTATTTTACGTTTAGCTTTCTCCACCTACTCTGACCTCCTTGAAGTTCTTATGAACCACAAAAAGGTATTGCCAGAATTTTTGGATATTCCGGATCAAGGCCAATTGCCTCCTTTTCCCTTGCAGAAGCCTTCATGTCGTAGTGTTGGGATTTAACACGATTTAAATTCACTAACAAACACACAAAATCGAAGAACAAATCAAGAATATAAAGCAATAAGAAACAAGAAAGAACGAGACACAGATTTTACGTGGTTCGGCAATTTGCCTACGTCCACGAAGCTGTAGGGATTTCACTATTGAGAGAGTTGAATACAGAGAGCGGCTGTACAATCCACACTTAACCCTAATCACTAAAACAAAAGGGTTTATATGTCCTACGCACTGGGCTGTATAACGGGCCCAAAAATTTTTCCTCGGGGGCGTTGCCCCCGAACCCCCACAAGGCTTGTCCATGAGCGCTACGGCTTGAGCCTATCGGCCCAAGCCTTCGCTTCATGGACTAAGTCTCAGAAAATTTTCCATTAAAAACCACACAACATTACTTCGGGGTCGAGTCATCATCTCGATCACATATAAAAACTAGACTCCATAAAAAAAACCAACACATAGCAGTAAGTGGTCACACAAAACGCTGCCTAGTGATGCTTTAGTCGGACCAATTGTTCCTATTCGTGTTTTGATTATACTTCGTAAGCTTTATGAGGCAGAGGAAACTGATGGATTGTCTGCTAACACGGAGCTTGAACTTCACTGCAATAAAGTCATGCAGGTAGCCAATGAAGTTGCTGCATCGACTTCTGGTTCTAGGCTTCATAATGAACATGTTGTTTCCCTGGCCGATGATACAAAAGAGATGTGTTATGTCTCTCAAAACGAAAAGCTTTATTCTTTGCATGAACCAGTTGCGTTTTCAGGCAAGTTCTCTACTATTGATCCAACCCCAGGGAGTTTTGGATGTGAGAGTGAGAGATTTACAACCTTAATTTTCAAAAAGCATCAGGAACTTGTCTCTAATTCCAAATGAAGATGGGCGGACTAGAACTATTTGACAAGTCGTGCCCATCAGAGTTGAAGTTTAATGATCGTGCCACGAACTTTGGCCCGAAGGAGCTAAAAACTTACAAATTGCTGATGCGCCAAGACAGAAAATTTCAGGAAGGCTTTGAATTATATCAAAAATATAGTAGTAGGTCCAATTTCCCCAAACAAGAACTGTAACAACCTCTTCGCTCGCCTTCCTTTTATTTTGTAATTATTCTTGGGCGATAGTGGGCGAGGTTGTTTCTTATATTTTGACATGTTGTTAACCTCATTGTATAGCTAGGAAAAACTTCTGTTGTATTGGATAAATTTGAATGAAATNTTATAATTATTCTTGGGCGAGTATGGGCGAGGTTGTTTCTTATATTTTGACATGTTGTTAACCTCTTTGGAGAGCTAGGAAAAACTTCTGTTGTATTGGATACATTTGAATGAAATCCATTTTTACACCAAATTCAGAGAATGCTATCAATTAAATTCTACCTAAAACCGAATTGAAGTTGGATATTGTGTTCTACATGTTCATATTATTGCTTTGCTTTCTCTTCCTATGGATGAAATACTATAATTGAGTCTTTGCAGTACTTCGAGATTATATTCTGCGTAGAGGATTTGTGCTTATGGACCGGGGTGAATATTTAAGACCAGTGGAATTGGTGGTCGACAATCGTTTGGACTTGATCAAGAAGAAATATAGGTCCTCTAATGAATCCCCTAGAGAAGGATAGGAGAATGCATTGACTCTCTTTGCACTAACTAAAGAGCAAATTCAAGCTTCTTCAGTACTCATTCGATTGAGGAGATGCCATGCCCAAACGATAAATATCGAGTGGAAGCGTTTAGCACTAGGAGTTCTATTCCTTTATTCCGGATGATTCTCCGGAAATAGTAAAAGCCTCAAAATAACACAGAAAAAAGGAGCACGTTTCCATTTTTTTGTAAAGAAAGAGGGTTAGCCTAACTTGCTGAACTCAGCTTTAGGTCAGAAAGGGAATAATATAACTTTTAGTTATAGCTGTAGAAGTTGTAGTAGGAGGGGCAGCAGGTGTTGGTGTTGGCTCACTCGCTCTAGCAAAGATAGTTCTGCAAGGTAATTGCTCAGGTCTGGTGCGCATGTCCTAGGCATATTAGTGAACACACTAGTGCAAATCCAATGGCCATCCATGCCACCAATCTTGGAAGCTTCTCTAGCTTTTTCTGGCCTTTTACTTCTAAATTATGTGGAATCTGATGGATTGATCGAAAGACATGTTCTGGCATGAAGAAGCTTTCGATTTTTTTGTTGTTGTGGTAGGTAAACACTGTTTGCAGCTTTCTCACCTCATTCAACTTCAGGTGTAGACTGGTTAGTTGCCGTAGAACACTTATGTTCTTGGATTTTGGTGGTGCATTCCAGGAATCCATCTCTCAAAAAGAAAGGTAAGGTTGTCTATTACTTACTTCTACCAGACCTGTCAAAAATAAGAGTTTTGTATAATAGTTACGATCTTTTTGTATGACAGTGGTGTATTTATAACTAGTACTCGAGTGCACTATGAAATTCATTCATCCACAAGACATCTTATTCCTTCAAGATGCTAAGCTATTAATATTTGATTGAATTCTTCCCACCCAATTCCTCGAGGAGAACACTTTCGAATATATTTTCCTAATTGTAAGAACCAGATTTTCTTGATCCTCTTCTCCGGAATGATGTTTTGATTTAGTTTTTAATAAAGTTTTGCCATTTAATATATGAAGAAAAAAAAATACTACAATTAAGGCGTATTTGAATCCAACTATAAATTTTGCAAGGAAACCCAAAAGAGGAATATTATTTGGACAAAATGTACCGACTACAATTTCTAATTAAACCAATTATTATCATTAAATTAGTAGTGGATCTTAATCTATACTACTCTAAAAGGTCTATATAACTGAAAAACATTTTATTTCTATTTTTACAATTCAACATTATAAATATACCAAACTTATCCTCCAAATTTAATACCATAATAAACCTAAATCACCTCAGCCCCAAAATCTTTTATATTCTCAGCCGTTACCCTCCCTCTGCCCTATTTTTCAGTCGTCCCTCTCTCTCTCTCCCCTATTTATCCATAATTTTTTTTTGTTCAAAAATTTATCCATAATTCAACGCACTAAACCAATCACACATCTCTCTCTCTCTCTCTCTCCCCCCTGTTCACTCTCTCTCTTCTCTCCGTTATTCACAAATTGGCCGAGAACACACAGTCATGTGCCCCTTCTCTTCACCTTCCCCCTCTTTGTTTGTCTCTAGAGGTTCCAAGATTACGGTTTATATTGATGAGTTTTTCTTGATCCGCATTTTTTGGGGGTAGGAATTGCCTTTATTTTTGGATTTGTGCACTTTCTTCCTTTCTTGTGGGTATTGTAAGTTTTTTGTTTACCTTGATTGAATTATGTTCAAATGCTCTCTTATTGAATCCAACTTGAGATCATTTTAAGTTATTGGGTATTCTCGCTTTTTTTTGGTTTTTCGGTATTGACTCTTTATTTCAAATGGCCTCGATCTTTTCTTTGAGGTTTCATATTTTCTGATTGACGGACAATGATATTTTGTTTTTTTTGTTATAGGCATGGAGAACCATTATGTGACATGCACTAGCTGAGATTGATGTGGGTATAGGGTATAGGGTTTCATTTCGGTGATCGTAGATCTTCCAATTACGAGATTTTTGATACAGGTACACGTGTATACATATGTTCTCTATTTATTCTATCTTTGTATCTGGCTTGCTTTGTATTGCTTTTTCATTATTCCTAAGTTTCATGGATTTATTTGATTGGATTTTGTGGGATTTAGTACGAGTTTGGTATCGTTCTCTATTTTGGTGTGTGGATTAGTGGATTATGTTTGTTGCCATCATCGTGGTGTTCTATCACCTCCCTTAATCTTTCAATACTCTCAAATTCTACCAAAACGCACACCAATATTTACCTTCCGTGGCCTAAGAATAGTGGCACACATCAAAGATTCGAGCAACGTTTGCTTCGTCAGGTTCTCGATTAGCGTTCAACGTCAAGAAGGCAATCACTAAAAAGTCAACATGATAATGTTTGGCTTCTTTGTGGGCAATTATTGAAGTAAATTTTTGATTTATTTTGTGAATTGTTAATTTTTTAAAGAATTGTTATTTGATCCATGTTATTCTGTGTTTGGTATGATTTATCCAGGGTTGGGAATTTTTTATAGAGTAGACATGTCTATCAAAATCTTACTTGTGACTGAAGAAGAAGTCATACGGTGGTACTCTATCACCACTCTTCTCTCAGGTTACATCTACATATGATATATTTGTATTTCTTTATTAATCGTTGCAATTCCTTTTTTTTTTCTTTTAGATAAATGTTGACAAATTTACTTATTTGTTTTAGAACTACTGGTTGCTATTGGTTGGGTGTAGATCAAATGAATCACTTTCGTACGTAGCTTTATTACACTTTCATTACTTGAAGATATCTACTTTGAGGATGTTATTTTCCATGATCAAATTTGTTATAAACTGTATATACATACACATTTGGTGTTGATCAATGATTGAATCAGATTTCAAAAGGAAGTGCTTTAAACTTTCATGAGTGTTAGTTATCAAAGTGTGACCATTATAGGAACACCAAGAAAAATTTATGAATAATTACTAAACTAGCTGTTAAAATAAGAAAATATGATGCTTTGCTCATTAATTGTGAGTTTGGGGTCATAAAGATCAATTGGAACCCAGGACTCCCACTGAAAATCGGTGGCTTACTGAAAAATGGGGAACTCTTATGAGGGTTTTTGCATTTCATCTCAAAGTGAACTAAATTAACAGCCCATGAGCAACATGGTGCCAGTTTACTACGTATCCTGCAAAAGAATGGGAAAAACATGAGTTTTCTTCATTTTTCTTCCAATTCAATTCGGGATCTAAGCTGGAAAAAGAAGAAAACCCATTTGTATGGCCTGTATTGAATCCCAAAAAGCACTTGAAATCTTATGAAACCACTCAAACAATTGTAACAAGAGGCATTAGGATAGGTGGTGATAACTTCCCTAGATTTTAGATTTCAGGTTGAACTTCAATGACTAAAAGGGATGTAATCTAATCTGTGGAACTAAAATTGCCGAAGGCTTTCTCGATCTGACCTACACCTTTCACATGGAATTGTTACTGGAACTAAGAATAAACTGGCTATATAAAGAGACCAATTTGGTTTATTTATCTTTAAGCATAAGCTGCCACTGAAGCAAGATTGTCATTGTCGTTCTGTCTACAGGTTGAAATTCTGTGCCTAACACCAAGAACAAAACTCAGGTTTGTTGTTTTAACACAACTTACATTTTCTTTGATTTTCTGCTTTTCTTTGTGGTGATAAAACAGGTAGTGTCAAGCTTTCAGGGATGAGGAATGCAAAGACATGAATTCCTAAGCAGAAGAGGCCAATGTGGATTACGATGACATCGAAAGCAAATCAGACATGTCTGACAATACATTCACGAAGAGTGTTGGATCTTTGTCAAGTAACCCTTTTGGCAGTACATCTCAACTAGGAGAACCTTGTAGCAGGGTATTGTCAACTTACTCCTTTTTTCAGAGCTGAGATGGATCTATCCTATGGGAGCTGGGGAAGGGAGGGAAAGGAGGAGGGGATTAGTCCACCCTCCTCAACTTCTACACATCTTACGCTATGTTTGGTACATGGTATTAGGCATTAGGAATGGAATGAGCATTCCATGGAAATCCTATTCTAATGTTTGGTTTGCAGGATTTAAAATCCATTCCCATTCCAAAGGAATACCTAATCTCACAAATTATGGGATTAGGCATTACCAAATCCAACATGGTATTTTTCATTCCCAATCCACTCGGTAATGGCCCAACCCATCTGGAAAAAAAAAACCCCGATTGCTCACTGTTTTCCTCTCTCTCGTCTCATCTGGTCTCGTCTCTCTCTCTTTGACTACAAGTAGAAGGTTCAAGCCCTCCATTTGCAGTTTGCACTCCTCTGGCAATCCGACGGGCGATTTATTGAGAATTCTCAGTTCACATCAGATACCACGAGGTAACTTAAATTTTTGATTCTGATTCAGTCTCTCCCTTCAATTTCTGCATAGTCGTCGCGCCGAGTATTGATTGCTCTATGAAATCCACGCTTTCAAAGATTATTCATAGGTATGGTGGTGAGAGACTACAAATCAAACAGTTTTTTTTTTTTTTTAGGTTTCAGCATTATTTATTTATGCAGATTACCTGTTTGTGATTGTGTTGCTGTAGTGTCCATTCGAGACATCAACTTGAAAGAAAGCTGTAAACCTAGCGAAAGAAAACTTGGAATTACTATAGGTTTATGGCATTTTTACTTGTTTCAGTTCATGTGCTGTCCAGAGCTTTTGTGTGGGCATTACTGAATCTTGTAGTTTACTTTTTGATTCTTTTGTCGATTTTTCTGTATTTTTTAATAGTATTTTTTTTATAACTTCATCACCTTTTGGTTGTAGTTGCGCTTTCTGCTCTCTGTTTCTCCAAATGGGAATAAATTATTGTGGAAGGATGGCTTTATTATAATTTGATTCTACTTGTTGCTATGTTTAGATCTTTCCATTGATAATGACAAAAAATTTTCATCCGTGTGGTTTCATTGGTAAACCCGTGGTTATTCATCTGGCTTCAAGGATATTTTTGGGGTTGCTTTTTTTTTTTTTTGCATTAGAATAATGCACAACTCTGTTTATTGGCACTTTAATTTGATTGTGTATTGACCTTATTTCAATAAGAATATTCTGGGTAAGAATAAGAGGAAGTGGACTGCTGGGATCAGAACTAGCCTTTGGGTTGTTAGGCAATTGTCAAGTGAAAATCTAATATTGTCTATTATCAGTACATCCAGTACTAATGCTCTTTCTAATATCATTACACGCAAATGTTGGCTTGCCTTTTCCCTGTTGCAACTTTTCAAGAAAAGGGTTAGCATAATAGTTTTTAAGCGACCTGCTGATCAAAGAATTACTAATTTAATTTTTTTGCTCAAAGCTTGATACAGTCTTGGCCTTGTATTCGAATGCATAATACAAACTGATTCACATACATATAATTCATTTTTTATTGTTGTTCTTTAGTTGGGTATATAATTTTCTTTTTTTCTTACTTTTTGTTGAGTTTCAGATTGCTGAACTAATGAATCAGCTTCAGAACTTGCAACCATTTCTCTTGCTGATATACTCGGATGCTAAAGACATTCTGACTTAAAATATGTGTGGAACAATTAGTGCTCTGAAAGCAAATTATTCAAACATTGACATCAAATTGAATCTAGATTAGTTTCTAAGTGCCAATAGACCTTTCTGGTCTTGTAGTTCAGAAACATAAATTAATTGTATGAATTGTAGGACAATTGTTCTGCATAGTTGTGATTCACACTGCAAGGAAAAAGAAATGGGTCTGCTATGGGCAAGCACTCTTTTAGGAACGAAGCTCTTGTGTACAAAGTACTCGTGAATAATTTTTCATTGTTCGGATATTTTAATGAAGTACTTTGCTTGTAAATTTTGATATCTGCTTAATCTACTCTCTTTGTTGGTTATCTTATCCAACTGTGTTGAATGGGTGGAACCGTGGAAGGCACCACCCCCTCCCCACTCTTTCTGATATTCCTAATTATTTGGGTACTGATCCAATGTTTGCCACAATAGTTGCATAGTGAGTTCTGATGGCTGCTGTACAAGTACCTAAATTTTTTGCATTTTGTTCATGTAGCAATATCAGAATTTTTAATTTGTGCTGACCATTTGCAGGAATTAGCAAGCACTTATGTTTGCTTCACAACTACATCAGGGATCAGGTGTTAGTAGACCCAATCGAGGCGGAGGTAGATGCAGCAGGTCTCGTGGTGAAAAATGATGTACATGATGATTGTATTACCACGATTGAAACATTCAACGAATAGTCAACATTTAAATTGAATTTGACAAATAAAATGTTTGATGAGTGGAGAGCAAGTAGACAAAGAGTGTAATTTTTTGTACCTATATTTGAGAATAATTTTGTTTCTTGGAATTCTACCTCCAATGCTATTGAGATGAAATGAATGGAATTTAAGAATATTTGTTTTTATTCAACTTGTTTTTGTTTTCTGTATATTGTTGATTATCTTTTAGACTTGCTTTTCATTGATTTATTTTTTGGTTCAACCTACATGCTCAGATGAGATTTTTAGTTGTCTTGATAGTTTTCTTTTTGGGTTGTCACATGTGCATTATTGAATTCATAAAGAACTATAATTGTTCGTTTGAAATAAATGACCAATTTTGAATAATTTTTTTTATTTTGATTTCTTTTTGTGAACCTATTTTTGAAGGAATTTATTTTCTAATTTTTTAAAATTTATAGGGGTTTAATTTTTTTTATAATGAATTCTCTTTTTTTCTAATTATAAAATGCTTTACACAACTTTTAAAAGCAATCGCAATTATAAAAAAAATGTTATTAATTATTTTTGGTTAAATTTGATTCCATTCCAATGAAAATATTATTTTATCCACACATAAGAATGGAATGAACATTTCATTCTAACACTTAATCCTAAACAGCTGCCAAACATTGGAATGGTAATGCACATTTCATTCCATTCTCAAGTTCATTCCATTCCTACTAAAAAGTATTACCACGTACCAAATGCAACGATAGACATTAGACAAAATTGTCACAACAAATTTTTGACATTAGGATGTGAACTTCGTATAGTATGGAAAACGAGAGAGCATAACTGTTAAATTAAACTAAAATGAAGGTTTTTCAAAATTCAATACGGAACATTAATCATACTAAAAAAGAGCAGGGCATGAGGCTTCTACTATTATGGGATTTGGGAAGAGTCAAACGTACATGGTATTATCTTTATATGTTGAGATACTGATTCCTGACTCAAACCTATGCCGTAACGTTCAAGTCAGGATGGAGCAATCTTTTTATCACACAACAAGACAATGATAAGACATTGAAAAGTTTTAAAAGGGGCGAGCATCGGAGAATTGCTGGAGTAATTAAATTATCTGAGTTCATATATATATATATATATTATGACTTGTTTATTTATTGTCTTAGGAGATCAACTAAATAGGAATTATATTTCTCTGTTACTGTGCCCTTGCTATGTTTGTTTTCTGCCTTTTCTTCCAAGAGTTGTATGTTTGTAGACATTTGTGTGTATGCTTCACAGCTATGAATTATGCTTGAATATTTTACTTAACTTTGATGGGGGAATTTTCGCCGTATGGGTGTATGAAGAAAGCACTTGATGATTTTAGGGTTCCAGCAAAATTTGAAGAACTTATACAAGTAGAAGGGGCTTGTTTCAGAACTATCAATACTTTGAGGCAGGTAAAGCGAAAGTATGTGAAATATGATAGTGAATATAATCAACGAATGGAGAAAGTTGGCCAAAGGCCTCAAGAAGCACTCAATAAAAATATGATGTCAGTTTCATTTAGGTGATANGAAAGTATGTGAAATAAGATAGTGAATATAATCAACTAAGGGAGAAAGTTGGCCAAAGGCCTCAAGAAGCACTCAATAAAAATATGATGTCAGTTTCATTTAGGTAATAGAAAAAACCAAAAAAATATAAGTAGGAGCAAATGTTAAAAAGCGACCCATACANGCAGGTAAAGCGAAAGTATGTGAAATATGATAGTGAATATAATCAACGAATGGAGAAAGTTGGCCAAAGGCCTCAAGAAGCACTCAATAAAAATATGATGTCAGTTTCATTTAGGTGATAGAAAAAACCAAAAAAATATAAGTAGGAGCAAATGTTAAAAAGCGACCCATACAGGTATCCTGGGAAGTAGAGAAAAAAGATTATATAGGAAATTGTTAAAATGTTAATACATGTCTGTTTATTGAGTTGCTTGAATGATATTGATACAATGGCAAGTCTATTTGTGAATTTTTCTTTTAAATTAAGTGGAAAACATTCCTTAAGTCTTTGTCAATGGTTGATTATGTGGGTAGAAGCCCATACTCTACACAAGCACATGCATGTTTAATACTCAGTTATTATGCCAACGTTTAAGCAATTCATATGCATAAAATTTTGAGTTAGGTAACAAAATCTAGTTGTCCACATACCACTCTTATATAAAATGTTAATACATGTCTGTGTATTGAGTTCCTTGAATGATATTGATACAATGTTGTCCATTTGTAATTTATCAGGGAATGTCAACTTCTATTTCTTAAAAGTAATGGAGGATATAAGTATGACTATGCAACTGGTCGTTGTCTTGCTGAAGTTTTCAAGGGACTTCTTGTAGCCAATATTTTTATTAAAAGTCCATTTTGGTTGTATAATATTTTATGTAAAAGTAGCAGTTGAAAATTTATGTCGGTTATCTCTGCGAAAATTTATTGTCAGTTGGAAATTTATATAAC